TCGGTTTTAGAGAACTACTTGATAGAACTCAACTAATCTAATGTTGAAACAATTATCACAAGCAGTTCCGTACTAAAAAGTTTCCAGAAAACACAGGAGTATCACAGCTATCATAATTCAAGCCAGACCTCAGGTTGTAAAGCACATAATTCATCATCGAATGATTGATGGTTCGAACTGCGGTTCAGTCATTCAGTCACCTACGTTCGTCTTTTTGAAGAAGAGCATTCAATGCCACCGGTTGAAAACGAAACAGAAACTCACCCATTATGTTCGTTTCTCCGCTACAAATGTTGTCAACATAAGGCATTGAGACGGCAATCCGTAGTGCATCACTAACCGAACGGAAAGTTCCGGCAAATAGCATTATATAATGGAATTGTAAATGGACCGTCGGTAATGGACCATCTTGTAATTTAGCTGTAGACTGTGGTAGCTGTAGATTGTACATAACTGTGGTTTTTTTTAGTACAAACATATTTTTGAAAGGCTACACATATGCCCTTTTTGGAAGGCATTTACATGACACTAGTCGTCTTTCAATGTGGTAGTTATCTCTCACCGTACAGGAGAATTGGTAAGATCGAGAAAAAGAAACTTGACTTGTTATGCTGCAATGCCTGCTGGATGATTTGCGCTAGGCATTCAAATCCTGCAATCGCTAGAGCAATTTCCGCTGTTACGGAAACGTAGATGATTATGGCTGAGTCAGGAAAGGCGGTGGACCGATCGAGAATGGAAGAAAGGCCATTGCCACGTCTCGTCAATTCTTCACAGTTTCGCTATTTTTCTGGACATTCATTGTTCAGTCAACTTTCGGCGACCAAACTGAGAGTTCACTCATCAGTTCGAGGTCGTAACTCTATAATGCTCACAAATACTTTAGAATAAAGGTATTTTTTCACAGATTATTTATTCTTTACTTTGTGCATTCTGTTCCAACTTTGTTTGAATTTGCTTCTCATGTAATCAACGAAAGGTTGCGATGATAAGTACGATTCTGCAATAATCTTCAGCTGGCAACAAAGACTATGTACCTCTATAATTTGCATCAGTTGGACTAACCAGTAATTAGCGGGGAATCGCGCTGGCTGTGACGACTACCGTTCCACTCAGCTACGAGCCTGAGTTATTTCCATGCCTTACCGGCTCCTGACAATCTTCCCACCGTAATGGCAGCCGGCCATGTGGCCAAATCCATTCACGAAAGCACCAATCGACGCTCATCACCAACAATCTCTCGTCGCCATCTCAGCGATTTGCGCAGACTGTCGTGTCACGATGACCTCCTTCAGTTGTGTCCGCTATCTGATGATTTTGTTGGGAAAGGAGTCACGACGTAATATACCCAGCATTCTTCTTTCCATGGCTCTTACGGGGACAAACAGCTGGCTCTGTTCGAGCATAATGAGTGACCACGTCACCCAGCTATGCATTGTTGCCGGAAAGCCGGCAGAATTGAATTGTTGGGCGCCATTTCTTTCCCCTGTCGCCAAAGGGTCAGCCTTGATGGATTCGAGGACTGTAATCTATTTCTCCTGTCTCCGTCGAATCTCTTGATCTCTTGGACCAAGTAAATGTATATATCGACTTTTTGGAACTTCTTACAGTTTATTCATACCAAAACCTTCAGCAGGGCACCTGATTGCAGTATCTCCAGCTTTGTCTGAATAATGGCAATTGGACTTGTTTGATTTCCTTCTGGAGACAGCATGTATAATAGCTCACTGGCGTTTTCAGCGAACAATGTCATATCATCTGCAAATCTTAGCAGCTAAACTGTTCAAAATATACGCTGATTCCACGGTTCTGGTTCATCTACGGAACATCTCCAACACGGCAGCTAAAATTTAGGAGATTATGGAGTCCCCAAGTTTCACGCCTTTTCGACTAAATTCCCGAGTGATGATCGAATAGCATGATGATAATGAAGCAGCTGAAGCTGCCGGAGCTCGCCTCCTTTAACAGGCTGATGAAACTGGCATCGGTGCCCTGTTCCGCCAGTACAGTCTACACTGTGTTGTGTTCGACAGTGCAAAACACTTTCTCTTATTCCACTGATGCGATGCACTGTGTAGGCTAGAAATCCTTTGCGACCTCTAGGAGTTTAATCGTGGTAAACACGCTGTCCGCTGTGCTCTAGTTCCTTCGGAATTTGGCCTGTTTCTCGAATGCTCTTCCTCCAGACTTGTATCATAGCAGAAATGTTTACAAACATCTTTGAATCTGCAGCTATAGATATTTGCCCTCCTGATGTAAAATCTCCTTTCTATTGCTGGTTTCTTAAAGCAGACCAATCTTCATCGATTCCTTTTAATTTCCTTAACGGCTTTGATGAGGAGAAGAGGATAAAGTTCACTGGCGAAGAAGAACTCAAATAACACCATTGTTTTCCTAGACATCAAAATAAAGTTATTTCAATGATTCTCTATCGCTTTCTGTATTTTGCAAGGAAGAGAACTGAAACCGCTTCAAACATACAATCTCTGAATATCTCGTTCATATTTCAAAATATTTTCATAAACTTGAGAGGAAGAGCGACGTCTGTTTTCAATAATCCGTCGACAGGTAGAGCTGGAATCCAAAATTTATCATGTGAAAAACTAATGGCTATGACACCATATTTCTCCAGCATTATTTATTTCATCCAAGAAATAAAATTTACCTCTTTCCAAACATGACCGCAACATCTTCATGTAACTTTTCATCTGAATCGGCTTTCATCCCTCTGTTGTTATCTTCGTAAGGTTAGCTGTAAAGTCGTCTCCGAGAAAAGCATCTCCTTGCGCAAAATCGTCTATGGAGAACATTTTGCGACAGAGGATCAGTCTATAAACTGGACTGTTTGCCAAAAGAATTGTAAAAGTTGCCAAAACATTTATATCTGAATGACAAAATGACGGTTTAAAAACAATCTAAAAGAAAACGCCGCTTTTGAGCACCAAAATGAAGAACATTTTGGTATTATGAAGCATACCATTGATGTAATGCATCGTATTAATATTAAAGATGTGGAGAACTTGGACCTAGGCAATACCACTGGTCTCATGATATGGATATTCGTCCTTCATTCCTTTTGCGGCAGCCAGTGTTAATGATGAAATAAGTTTCAAAGAGTCTATCCTATAGCTAGAACATCGTCATAAATCACTTTATTGGCCCAGTTTAATCTGTATATTCATCTTCATCTTCATCTTCATCTTCCATCGCCGCTTCTCCTTTCGGGTCGCGGAGGCAGACGCGTCA